ATCTATAAAGAATATGAGAAAAGTGACCATATTGTAAAGACATTCTGAAAATATTGCCATAATAACTCATTAAACAGGTAACGTAATATATAAAGCAGAAAGCCAGAAGATATATATTGCAAATAGTGTGTGTAATTACAATATATGGTATATACTTCTGTTTTACAAAAAAGTAAAATATATAAAAAATAATGCTAAAACCAAATACTTAAAGTGCCCATATTGTAAAAACCGTAAACTATCCTAACACTAATAACTAATTAAAGTAAACTCTCAAGCTCTCTCCTGGAATCATGTGCATCTCTCGGAGTGACTGTAAATGATATTTCTGAAGCATGCACAGAATCAAAAGCAGAAGTTCCTCTCGTTGAGTGTTTATCATCAGACTCACCTTCACCATGATCTCAGCGACGCGGGTCTCCGCTGTGCGACGTGGCGCTCGAGCCAGAGCCTGGCTCATGAATATTAATGACGTAACGGGACGCTCGCACGATTGATTGGCTGAAACGGATGCGTTTTGAAAATGGCCTCGATTTATGATTAATAATCGTGTCACGTGACTGGACTCTCCGAGGAAATCATAAAGGGACGTGTTTAATATTCATGAGCTCGGCCTTCGCCGTGGTAGGATTCGCTGATTCGACCTGGTCAGTCAAAACCACGAACACAACATAAAAAAACATTAACCTCATGTTTTTAATAACTGTAACATCATTTCGGAGTTTTGTTTGAATGTTTGCTTATATTAGAACATTAAATCCACAAACAAAATGACAATTACAAAAAAACAAAAAACAGAAAAGTCTCTCTTGAGAGTGTTTGTAATTATTTATTAATTTATTAGAAACCTATTTTACATGTTAAAATCATTTATATAGTACCAGGCTGATGTTATATTTTCAATGTAATCTCTAAGGATCTATTATGAATATTTAGATATTTAATTACACGCCAAAGCTCACTTCTATATGATTTATTTGATCTTTTGCATGACATGCACATGTATTTAATAACCAACAAACACATTTGCATCAGAAAGACTTTTAAGTTGTATAATTGACCTACGCAACACAGAAAAACACCAGAGAAACGAGCATCACAGTGTTCAGATGCTCACTTTTCTTTAGTACAACATGATTCTGGCATCCACACGTGTCTGATAGACTCCTGGGGAGCGTGATGAAGAGATACGGTGGTCCAATTGGGTGGTTCTGGAGTCACATGACCCCTCCACTCAACTGTAGAGTCTCTGGTGTCCAGCTGTGGGGGCGGGACTTATGATCTGCATCACCATTGAAACGTTTGGACCTGCCGTGTTGCTCCGCCCCCTCCAGAGGCTCCTCCTCCTGCAGCTCACGCTTAAGCCCCGCCTGCATTGGGTCATCCGCCACATCTGAGAGGAGGTCAAACCATTTATGACACTTTGATGGTGTTTTGCGACATTTGCATTTCGAAAGTCGTAAGTTTTTCGTTTGACCTCGCGTGAGTTCCGCCGTGTTCTGCTGCTACGTGCGCATGTGACGCATCAGGCCTCTGTGTGGCACACCATGGGACGAGGATAGTTTTTACCTGCACACACATGGGTCAGAACATGTTAAACTGGTTCAGACAGTCACAGCGATGGGTTAGTGAGCGTTTCGCATCTCTCCGTACCAATGATGCAGCCGGCGCTGAGCTGGACGTCTTCAGGTGCCTTCCACGGCAACATCATGAATATTAAACAGCTGTGGGTGTGGCAGATCAAACACAGAACATCATGAATATTAAACAGTGGGTGTGGCAGATCAACCACAGAACATCATGAAAATTAAACAGCTGTGGGTGTGGCAGATCAAACACAGAACATCATGAATATTAAATGGGGGTGGGCGTGGCAGCTCAAACACAGAACATCATGAATATTAAACAGTGGGTGTGGCAGAACAAACACAGAGCATCATGAATATTAAACAGTGGGTGTGGCAGATCAACCACAGAACATCATGAAAATTAAACAGCTGTGGGCGTGGCAGCTCAAACACAGAACATCATGAATATTAAACAGCTGTGGGTGTGGCAGATCAAACACAGAGCATCATGAATATTAAATGGTGGTGGGTGTGGCAGATCAAACACAGAACATCATGGTGGGCGTGGCAGATAAAACACAGGACATCATGAATATTAAATGGTGGTGGGTGTGGCAGATCAAACACAGAACATCATGAATATTAAATGGTGGTGGGTGTGGCAGATCAAACACAGAACATCATGAATATTAAATGGTGGTGGGTGTGGCAGAACAAACACAGAACATCATGAATATTAAATGGGGGGGGGTGGGGCAGAACAAACACAGAACATCATGAATATTAAACGGTGGTGGGTGTGGCAGATCAAACACAGAATTACATGAATTTTAAACAGCTGTGGGTGTGGCAGATAAAACACAGAGCATCATGAATATTAAACGGTGGTGGGTGTGGCAGATCAAACACAGAATTACATGAATTTTAAACAGCTGTGGGCGTGGCAGATAAAACACAGGACATCACGAATATTAAACGGTGGTGGGTGTGGCAGATAAAACAGAACATCATGAATATTAAACGGTGGTGGGTGTGGCAGATCAAACACAGAATTAATCAGTATCATTAATCACAGTATCTAATCACTAGCTTAGCAACATGCTAACATTAGTCTCTACTGGAATCAGCTTTGTGGGTTAATTATAAATATACTGCAAAGTATCAATAAATATAACACTAACCAATTAAAAATATAAACTAATTCGCACAATATTTGCATATTTTTGTGTTTATTAATGTTGTTAGCTTAGCAATATGCTAACATCAGTTGGTTAGAATCAACCCTGAGGGCTGATTATAAAAATACTGTGAAGTCAATGAAATATCGTATTAACTCATTTAAAAATAAACTAACACGAAAACTGTGTATTTTGTGTTTATTAACGTTGTTAGCTTAGCAACATGCTAACATCAGTTGGAATCAACCCTCAGCGCTGATTACACTGCAAAATTGCAATAAAATATAGTATTAACTCAAAAATACACTACTTCAACCAAAATATGTGTAGTATGTGTTAATTCGAATATTTTGTCGTTAACTTAGCAACATGCTAACATCAATCGGTTGGAATAAACTGTGAGGGCTGATTATACCTACACTTCAAAATTTCAATAAGATAAAGTATTAATTACTAAAAATACACTACTTCGCCCAATATCTGCGCATACTTGTAATCGCGATTAGAAACTCGATTAATTGTACAGCCCTAATTATTATGATAATGGTGTTACCATGGTAATTGTCCATCACATGGCATTAGCATATAGCACTTATCCAAATACATGAGAAAATGGTACAAAACACAGAGCATAAAACGAGACAAGTCTTTATATATGATGAATATGATTAATAATATATAACATGTAGAATTTGATTAAATATATATATAATGAAACAGCACTTTTTCTCCGATTTGACATCACATGACCGAGATGTAAACATGAACACTGTTACTACTGATTTTTTTTAACGATCGAATACTTTCATCCACCTCCAGATCGCCTCGGCCAACATCCATTAGAACACAGAATTAAAATTTAGAAACACAACCCAAGTGTGCAAACATAATTATAGATGATAACCAGTTGATAATTAACAGTGGAAAGAAACGCACCAATACAAAAACCGTACCGTACCGCTTTAATCTGACTTGATCTCCTCGCATCCTATTGGACAACCGCATCCGTATGATTCTGAAATCACGCTTCCGATTGGTCGCCTTCGTACAGGATCGCGCTTCTCAGCACGTGATTGGATGTGGCGACTGTAGATCAAATGTAAAGCACCCCGCGTTGTCCAAGTTTGCAAACGTGAAATTTAATATATATATATCTATATATACAGTATATACACATATGGTGGATGTGTATATATATCATAGACTGTATATATATATATATATATACGAATTTTTGGCGACAAACTGAATCAGAATAATTTGCGACTGTGACCGCTAGATGGAGCCAAACATGCTAAAATTAGTTTTTTTTTATTAAAAATGATTACGTTTATTATTTTACATGGAAATACATTATATTGGTAATACATTGGTAATACTATTATGCATGGTAAATGTCAAAAACATGGCATTTCAATCATGATAAGGTCCAAAACATGGTATTATCATGTGCAAAAGTAAAAACAACAACAACAACAATGGCATTACTATTATGATATGGGACAAAACATGGTATAATCATGGTAAATTTAAGAAAACACAGCATTATGTTAATAATAAGGTCCAAAGTTGTGGTTTTGCTTGGGTAAATGTCTCAAAAATGCATTTTAAATCGTGATATGCTCCAAAACATTGAATTACTTTATGGTAATGTTAGTTTTTTTAATCACAAATGATTACGTTTAATTAGTTTATGTGGAAATACATGTGCGTTCTTAAAATTAATGAATTAATTAATTATTTTTATTAAACAATTATTTCTCATTATTAAGAAGAAATACATGTCTTAAATATCTCAAAATAATAAATAAATAAATATGCCTAAATTATGTTTTCTATTTTTTATATTTATTACTCACAAGTTGTACAAGAAAACTCAAATTATCATCATCATCATCATCATCATCATCATCATTATCATTATTATTATTTTCTTCCGGAAGAAAACTCTTTGTGTATACATCTACGAACCAAGTGGATTATAGATTAATGTCTGTTTAACAGAAATCACAGGAACAATCGATTTCGCTGGCAGTTTATTAAATTTAAAATCACATCTCAGCAGAAGATTATGGCACCCATCATCTCTGATAACGAACGGGGCGTGTCCTCTGTGTGGGCGTGTCCTCGCGTGGTGACTCCGCCCCCGAGAATCCCTTCAGTCTGAGAGTGTGTGTGTGTGTGTGTGTGTGTGTGTGTGAAGAGCAGAGACGAGACGAGGACAGCGAACTACCGCCGACAGTGAGTACAAACACACACATATAAACACACTCACATGTCGCTGTGTTATATGTTATGTCCTCACAGATAACATTTTGCAGTTTTATAAGCTTAATATTTTGTTTAATGTGTTTATTTAGCTGTTTGAATGAACATGTCCTCATAATGAGGATTAAAGTCAGGTTTGCATTGTGAGGCCAATTTTGGCACCTTCAGCAGAAAACACACACACACTCTCACTCACACACACACACACACACACACACACACACACAC